CTGCTTGCACATCAATCTGTTGGAATTAAGGGTGGTCAGAAATGCTTTCCTCCGCTTTCTTCCCCTACTCAAAAACAAGTCCACCAAGATCATGACAGACAACATAGCATGCATGTATTAAATCAATCGTCAGGGCAGAGTGTGTTCCTCTCACTCTGCCTCTAAGTGGTAAAACTTTGGAACTGTTTCATAGCCAGATAGTCATCTGGGCTTCTTACCTCCAGATATACAAAACACCGTGGCCGATGATCTGAGCAGACATTTGTCCTTAAATGACAAATAGGAGTTGGACTCTTTGAGTGCTCAATAAAATACTCCTGACTTAGGGATTTCCAGAGATGAATTTTTTTGCCACTGCAGTCAACACAAAATGAAAGGAAATTCTGTTCCAGGGGGGGTCTCGATCAGCAGTCTCTAGGAGATGCTTTCCTCATTACATGGACAAAGGGTCTTCTCTGTGCAGATCCTCCAACTCCATTGCTCCTAAAGGTCCTTATCAAGAACAGAGAGGACGAAGCCAAAGTCATTTTGATTGCACCATACTTGGCCAATATAAGTTTGGTTTCCGAACCTCCTCAGACTCACCTCTCGCCCTTTGTGAAGGCTACAGATAAAACCTCCAATATTGTCTCAGGATGTGAGTCAGACCTTTCACCCCAATCTTAGTTCCTCAGTGGTTCTCAGGACAAGAGACCTTATGCTCATCAGAAGGTCAAAGATACTGTTGAATAGCAGAAAGAAATCTAATAGACATACTTACCTTCAGAAACGGAGACGTTATAGCCTTTGGTGTAACCAATGCCATCTGTTTTCTGTCCAGTCATCTTTCCTCAATCTTGGACTACCTGTTGGAATTGAAAAATTCAGGCCTTTCTTGGAGTTCCATCAAGGTTAATTTAACAGCAATAACAGCTTTCCACGTGCCAGGAGAAAGTTTGTTTTTTTTCACTCATCCAACCACAGTGAGATTTGTAAAAGGATTTATAAATCTTTTCCCACAGATAAGAGCCCCTACACTGCTTTGGGTTTTCAGCCTGGTTCTTAACCATCTCATGAAACAGCTATGTGCTCACTTTTATATCTGTCTATGAAGACAGCCTTCTTGGTGGCCATCATTTCTGCTCAAAGGGATGGGGAGACGGGGGGCTCTAGTTGAAGACCCTCCCTTTTACTTTGTTCTCCAAGGAGAAGGTACATTTACGACCTCATCCAAAGTTCTTACCTAAGATGTCCTCTGGAGTTCATATCAACCAAACTATTCATCTTTTGTTTTTTCCCCTAAGTTGCATCAGTTTACACAAGAGCCGCCTTTTCATACATTAGCTGTTAAGAGAGCATTAGCTTTTCACTTGGACGGGACTAGGCCATTCAGGAAGACCCCCCCAGACTTTGTTTCCATTGCAGATAAGTGTAATGGAGCACCTATCTTTACTCAGAAACTTTCTAAATGTATCTCCTGGATGTATTATTGCCTGCTATGGTTTCCCTGCGGTTACACCTCCCCTAAGAGTGGGTGCACGCTCTACTAGATCACTGTCTGCATCTTTACTCAGAGATGTTCTCGTTGCTTAAATCTGCAGGGCTGCAACATGGTCCTTGATGCACATGGTTTCTAACCACTGTGCCCTAATTTACGCTGCATGATCAGATGCGGCAATAGGCAACACCGTTTTCTCTCTGGTGATGGACTCTGTTCCAAAACTTCCACTTCCTCAAAGGGTTACTGATAGGGAGTCACCTAAAGTGGAGTGCCCACAGGGAGTCTATTTGAAGAAGTTGTTACTCATGTTGTGCAGTAACTGGAATTCTTCAAGGTGCATTCCCCTGTGGGTGCTCCACTATCCACCCTTTTCCCCTCTGTTTAGGAGTTGCCTGTGTAGGCTTTGTGATAGAGGAAGAACTGAGAGCGGTTTGCCCGCTCCACCATATGAAGCCTTGGTACAGGGCACAAGGATGTGCAGGGCGCATGTGTGGGCAGAATGGATACTGCTACCAAAAATCTCTGTTCAGAGGCACAGGGGCACGTGCACACCTAAAGTGAAGTACCTGCAGGGGAACACAGCTTGAAGAACTCCCATTACTGCACAAGGTAAGTAACCTCTCCTTCCTGTAATTTTCATACTTCGGTTTCATTGCTTTCTACTTGCTTGCTTGGGTCTTCCAAGTTTCTATGGTTTCTTCAATATCTCATTACAGCTTCAGACTTGCACCTTTTTGTTTTTAATTGTATACAGTTATCTTCTGAGCTCAAGCTGTGTTCTGTAATTGTTTTTAAATGGGTAGAGATTCAAGCCAAAAAAAAAAAAAAAAGAGAAAATAAGACTGAAAACCAACATTGATTTAAAAAAAATATTCTTTTTAGGTGTGACGTAGAAAATCGATACCAGGGAAATCCACTTAAAGGAACATGTTATTGTAAGTACAACTGCTTTTCTTTGCCTGAAAATAGTAAATGTCTTATTTGATATATAGGACCAAATAAGTTACAACTATTTTACTTAGCACAACATCTGTTTATATGCAGGTGGGTTAGGACAGTGGTTCTCAAACTGTGGGTCGGGAACCCAAAGTGGGTCGCGACCCTGTTTTAATGGGGTCACCAGGGCTAACATTAGACTTGCTGGGGCCTGGGGCCAAAGCTGAAGCCCGAGCCCCACCACCTAGGGCTGAAGCCTGAGCCTCGGGTTTTGGCTTCACCCCCACCCCTCCACCCCAGTCGTGGCGGGGTTTGGGTGGGCTCGGGCTTGGTTACCCCCCGCCCTCCCCAGGGTTGTGTAATAATTCTTGTTGTCAGAAAGGGGTCACAATGCAATGAAGTTTGAGAACCCCTAGGTTAGGAAATATTGTCATTACACTATTAAAATTCAGATTATCCTAGTGGATACTCTTATTTTACCACTCTTAAATATTTGAGATCAACACTTTTAGAAAGACATTAGATGGGAAAATATCTTAAATTAAATAGCAATGAAGGGTTCAGACAGGATTTCTAAGGGGGTGGGGAAATTAGAAGTGTGCTAAATCCTGCTTGGGCAGTTGAGGAGCAGCATTGATAGGTTTTAAGATAATCTTGTGCCGTTATCAAACACAACAATGTTGCTTATGCCAACCACACGGGAAAGGAGAAACGGCACAATGTAGGGGAGGCTTCTTGGTAGTAATTTTGAAGCCCAGTAGACCGGGAACATTATGATGATCTTTTAAAAAAGTTATTGTCAGTGCTATCTATTGTCATGATAGCCATACTTCATTAAATATTTAGGTCCTTTGTACACTCCCTTGAGCCCAGTAGAGACTGCAGTGGACTGGATTAGGCTTCTTTCATGTTATGGGAGGGGAAAAGAGAAAAGAACAAGATAAGATATCGGTGGGTCATGAAGCCCCAACCCACTTTTTGAAAAAGGCCTTGTTTTATTAGCCATAGTAGCAATTTTATCGTATTTGCCTGGCCTTTGATTTTTCCCAAATATAGTGAAAACATGGTGGTTCACCAGTTTTGCTAGATGGGTGAATGTTTTTCCCCACACTGTTCCAATGGGAACATCGTATTCTGCCATCTGAGAATATGTTTGGTCTTCCTTAAACTCCCATAACGTTGATAAGCAGTTTTAATAGATACTTTAGACTTGGTGAAACTACAAGAACCAAATAAAATGTGGTTAAATTATGTAGTCGTCCACATTTCTCTTTTACCAAGTTCTCTTAGGATTTAGGCTTTTATCAGATGTCCTGCTTGAAAAATGTAAACCTTTATCCTTTTCCCCCCTCCTCTTCCAAAAAAGGTTGGGTTAACTTTAATAGAGTAGGATATAATACCCTCCAAGGTCGGGATAGTGAGGTGTCTAAAGTGTTCCTTATTCTCTCCCAAACTCAAATTTCTGTTGGGGGCAGATTATAACAGTGCAGTAACTCTCTCTTGTTGCAGTAAGCTGTTTTCTAGTTTAGTGTAAGCAATTAGTTACCTGCCTTGCTTTCCAGAAGCTTGTTTTATTTCAAGACATTTTTTCAGTTTTTTGCATGTATTCTTTACAGATACTCTTCTTATTGACTATCAGTTCACCTTCAGCCTTTCCCAAGAGGATAATCGCTATTATACTGCAATCAATTTTGTAGCAACACCTGAAGAGGTGAGTATGATCTCTTCCCTTTTGGACTCCCACATTTCATACTTTGTTTCAAACATCTGCCTTCTCCTTGCCCTGAAGAGAGTGGCTCATACAGTTCTTTGAAAAGAACTACCGTCTTGGTGCACATGCATAGTTCACGTCCCAGCCAGAATGTCCTCAATCTGTATAGCTACACCTTGCTTCCTTGAAGCACTGAATGTTTGTGGCCGAAATGGGGCATAAGGAACCGCAGCCTAAACCTGCGGTTCAGTTGCTTTGTACTGCTGGAATATGTAGTCAAACCCCTCTAGCTTTCTCTTGTTGCTTGCAGTTGGTCTTGTATCTTATTGTGTCTACTTTCTTCACTTTCTTTTACTCTAATATAGTTAGTCAGTGTAGAATTATGCCATGGCACAGTTCATTCTGTTGTTTATTTTGCTTTTCTTCCTGGTGCAAAAGGCATCTCCTTTTGGAATGGAAATATGGAGCAGTCACGTAAGGTATCTAACTTCAAATGCAGCTCCGCATTCATGGTGACACCTGTGCATCAGTGAAGCTCACCTGCTAGGGAGGTATTCTCTTTGCTTCTCTTTCACCTCAAGAGCTCAAAGAGAGGTCAGCCTCCAGTCATTCTGCAGGGAAAAAGCCCATGGGCTAGCCAGAATAAATCTTAGTCAATTAACACCCCAGGGCTCCTTCTATGTTTAATAACCAGGTGAATTCAGAATCCCCAAATGCCTCAGATCCTGGAGGGCAGAAAAAGTACTGTTGGTCCAAACACTGCAGCGAGTTAATGCTGTCAGGCTCATCCTTGGAACTGAGGGGTGGGGAGACAGGAAAAAGCAGCAGTTCTCCATTTCTTCAGTCAGACTCCAAGAACATCAGAATGTAGCTGAGAGGCCACCAGCACTGAACTGGTTGTAAATTGTCTAATACAACGGGGCCTTGGTCCATCTTTGTGGTCTGTGGTGCTATTGCAGTACGAACAGGAGGCTCATTGATGCAGTGAATGACGCACACAAAATCACTTCCCATTTTTTTCAGTGCTCACATAATTCCTACCAAAAGATGTTGTGGATGGGATAAGTCAAAGCAGTACTATCCTCTGTCTGCTCAATCCAGCTGAGTACAGGAACTTCTCCAAACACACACCTGAGCAGAGACTTTTCCTTGGATTGCAGCTTACAGTTTCTTGCTGGCTGCTCTTAAGGTGCGTCTTGATTCTATGAGAGAGCTCTGCATTCTCCCTCAGGATCAACAGCCACAGCCTCAAGGCTAATAATGGGGAAACCATGGCTTTGTGGGCCAGGATGACCTCCCCTTGGCACCCTTCAGTGTAATGAGGCCCCATGGGACCTGCACTCCATGACCAGGGGTGTCATTCCAAGTAAGGGCTCTGTTGTATTCAGTTAGATGGAATATATGGGCCCAAAGAGTCAAAGTCATTAACATGGTGCTATTGCTGTCCAGCATTAACCAGTGTTAAAAAAGGTTTGGGGTTTGGGATACAGAGACCCCGGCCTGCTTAGTACCATGGCAAACACTATTAAGAATCTTTTGAATCCCTTATTAGGAATACAGAAAATAAGGGGAAAAGAACGTTTAAAAGCATTTAAAAAGGAAAGTATTAATAAGTTTCATCCTAAAAACATCCCTTCTTCCCTCTCCCTTTAGCCGGAGAGAGTCTTTAAAAACCTGCCCGCTTGTCTTAGATGGTATTACGGATGTTAGCTATCCTTTTGGGGGAAAAGAGAAAAAGTTACTTACAATGGGCAGGAGCTATTGTTACTGTCGTTGAAGTCTGATCCCATTTCCTAGAAGACAAAACAAGAGAAATGCACACAAAAGGGAAAAGTAAAGAACAACAAAGATAGAAAATACAACTTCTGTCTCTGGTGTTATCTCTCACTTGCAGCTTCACTGCTGGAGAAACACAAGCACAGCAGACGATCTTATCAGCGACTCTGAGACCTGACAAATTTGTACCAGCATCGGGATGTTTAGGGCATTGCTTTTAGCTGCCTTTCCAGGCTCAGGCTTGCAGCAATGTTGCAAAATATGCATTGTTGTCTAATCCAGACAAATAGCTGGACAAAAGGAAAAAGGAGAGTGCTAGGAGAGAGAAGAAATATGGTGGGAAGGAAAAGATCCTTTTGGGAAATAGGGGACGGAAGGAAAAGAGAAGGATGTGTATGAGACAAAGCCTCACATGTCTGGTGATATTTGGGATTAGCATGAGCCAGTTGAGGTGGCAATGGTGATGTCGTCTGGGGTCCCTCTTCCTTGGCCCAATCTGCTCAGGACATCTCTCAGTATCAGGACGATGAAGAGTCCGAGGAGATGGTGGGGTTGGCAACTGTCATGATGAAGTTTTCACGTTCCTCTTCTCTAGTCAGCCACCCATCTGTATTTCCCCTCACCCCACGTCTTTTTTGTTAAGGACCCCAAAAGAGAGTGATGGACAGAATAGTCCAATCCCCTCATTATTTTGTCCACCAGTTAAGCCTCATTTCTGACATACCAATTTTGGTTCATTAATTTCCAGTTCCATACTTTTCTTGTTGACCAGGCATGGTCTTAACACAGTCCTTGAGTTATATCAGGAGGCCTTTTT